AGACAGAAGGAGAGACAGACAGGAGGAAAGAGAGACAGACAGGAGTAGAGACAGACAGGAGGAGAGAGAGACAGGAGGAGAGAGAGACAGGAGGAGAGAGAGAGACAGAAGGCTAGAAAGACAGAAGGAGAGAGAGACAGAAGGCTAGAAAGACAGAAGGAGGGAGAGACAGAAGGAGAGACATACAGAAGGAGGGAGAGACAGACAGAAGAAGGGACAAACAGACAGAAGGAGGGACAGACATACAGAAAAGGGGACAGACAGAAGGAGGGAGGGGCAGACAGACAGAAGGAGGGACATACAGTAGGAGGGAGGGACAAACAGACAGAAGGAGGGAGGGACAGACAGACAGAAGGAGGGACAGAGACAGATACAAACAGAGAGACAGACAGAAAGAGGCATTTTGAATTGCAGGTGGACTCTTCACATTTTTTTCATTTCATTTCAAGAAAAACAACCAAGTGTAAAGAGAGAATAGAACCCTGTTGGACCAAAACAAAATTCGTTATACAGAGAAAATCGTTGTTGAGAGAGTCCAACTGAAATAACTCTATGGAACCTTGCAAGGTGTTATTTGAAGACACTCAATAATTCCAAATAATGAAAAAATATATTGTATTTCAACAGGAATATAATCAGCAAAAAAATTCAGGGGAACCAAAAATATTCAATGCAGATATGTTCTAAGAGAACCCTGAAGCGTGTACTGCTTCATCTGTATAGTAAGAAGTCTATCAGAAGGTGCTTCAAAATACAATTAGGCCTTCAGAAGTCATACCCCATCACTCAAAGTATCAGTAGGGGCAAACAGAAAGTAGCCACCCATTCCCAACAAAATCAGTCCTCTACTACTTCTTGAAAAAACCTAGCCATTTTACTTCAGGACTTGGTTTAATTTTGGATACTTTCAAAAGTTCAAGCTGTTTTTCAGAAATCAGAGAAGTTTTTTTCCCAGTTTGTTTTTGGCAAGTTTGAAAAGAAAAACTTATCAGACACCCATTCCAAAATGTAAACAAAATCCACTCACCACAGGAAGCCTCATCTGAGCCATCAGCACATTGCTCAGTGCCATCACAGAACTGCTTCCTTGGAATACATGTGGTATCTCCACAGGCCAAGTAATCCTCCTGCAAAATATAACAAGGAAAAAAACCACAAACATTGTATACCCAACATAAATATGAGTTCCTGAGAAATAGAGAAACAGATTTTGTAATCTGAATGTTATTTTTACCTGACAAATGGGCTCCTCAGTAGCCAACAAGGGTTTGGCTCTTCTGTCCTTGTTCTTCTTGTTGCAATTGTTCACCTGGTCCTTCCAATTGCATGTCTGAGCTTCTATGTCAAAGTATAGTCCTGGGGGACACCTAATTGCTTGCAACCCCTGTACCACAACAAAAATAAAAACTTGAAGGCATACAATCCTATGAACCTTCTGGTGTCAAAAAAAATTATATTTTTCTGGCAGACACTCTACAAATATCACAGCCTTTTTAATTTTTTCAAGCAAGCAAAATCATGTACAGAATGTTGATGATTATTCAGTCTAAAAGATACATGGGACACTCAAACTATTTTCTCTGACATTAGAATGGATTTAGGTGATGTCCAGTCATGTTCATGAATTATTTTCAATCTGTTTTAATAAAAATTACAGACTTTTATTGCTACTTTACAAGGCATTGATATACAATTGCCAACAGTTTTTGTGTGCTTTAACACCTTGGAAAAACACACAAAGAAAGTGAATTCCACTGCTTCACAAAAACATTTATGAAACTTAAATGGCTGAAGGGAAATTAAGAAATGCCTCTTAATGACACCAACACTCCCTGAACATTAGTTTATAATTGCCAATGAAAATAATTAAAAACATGTATAAAGCAAATAAAAATGCATCATCACAGTACCTAATTGGAAATTCATACTGAATTAAACTTATCATAATTTTTCATAGGACTCTCTTGTAAAAATCAAATTTTAAGATTTTAAAAAATTTAGATGACAAGTTTTCAGAACCAGTTTATTGAATTTCAACACTTTTTCAGGATTGTTTTTGCACTGATTTCACTCAGATGAAATGGATATCGCTGAAAGTTGAATTTATCAGAAGTCAGAAACCAAGCTTTCAAAGAATAAGATTGCATGGCATTCAAGCATTAGGATGAATGATTCGATCACCATTACATTTGTGGAATTCCTCAGTTTTTCTACCAAGTATTCACGTGAATTTCGATGGGATATCGAAGTACTGTACAGTACTTGTGAGAATAAATTACCCCACCTCCAGCGGGATCCAAAATATCGGAAATTGAGTTCAATTAAAAAATGACGAGCGGTCAAATACTGCACTTGAACTTCAAAAGTTGCTTTTAATGAAAGAGTTGTTGTTCTTACAAAAATTAATTACAGTCGACAACCAAAAACAAGAAACGCAGTCAATTCTCGAGAGTTCAATAGAGGGCCGATTTAATTAAGATGACCCGGATAATGAACGCCTCATACAACGGTCTTGAGCTACAATATTTTCCCACAGACTGCCTAAATCAACATTGTTCCTCTAAATTGATCTGGACAAGTGTTTGCCATCATCACAAATATCAAAATTTTTAAATAATTTTTTTCTCAAAATTAAATAATTTTTCAGCAGTATTTTCACAAAAAGTGCACTGCACACATAAAAATTTAGTAGATTAAAAAATTAATCTAAAAAACCA